ATATGACCCTGGCGTTGATATCGACTTTCCCATCCATTGTGTTAACAGGTACAGAAAAAGTGTATCATTCCCGCATCACAATAGTCGACAAGAACAATCCAACTTCCACTCCTTGATCACGCTTCAACTCAACGTGACGTGATGGACGAGACGCAAGGGCTTTGTGTGGTTGACTTACCAGGAGCTGGCGAGAGAGCTGAACCTGGAGCAAGGCTCCTTCTAACCACGCCATGAGTATCTGAACAGATCTGCAACTGGTGGTGAGCAGCAGTTAGCAACATCCTTCGAATCCACCAGGCAGGCACATACCAATCCAGGAGAGCTTCCGAAGGTCATGGCAACGGCCAGGAGGGTAGTCCGAGCGGCTTTGTAAGGGAGGATATAGCCGAGTATGTAAAGTCCCAATAGATACATTGTTTGCATCGCATTGCTGAAGATTCTCTCGTCGACGTCCGTCATGATCATCCAAAGAGCTATGTCGTACGACGTACTGCTCACGACTTGGCCTAGACGCACGTGGATCCTTGCTCTGTGGCCCTGGTGGTGAGAGGACGCAAAACCCATAGCTGCAAAGATACAAGGCAGCATGACTTGTCTGAATAAAGAGACCTGTGGGTCCCCACGCAAAGCAAGAAATGTGAAGAGAGGAATTCCGGAAAGTAAGAACACAAGTGGTCCCAACAGCATGATGCTAATACTCCCCCGTGTAGCCCTCTCTAGCACCCCCAGGATGATTTCGGCCTCGATGCTAATGACCAGAAAGACCAGGTGGAACTGGTTGACGGGCGTAGACGGCTGCGCACCATAGCCAAAAGTGAGTAGATGAACCTGCGCAAAGACCTTCGGGGCAAGTAGAACGTCACTTCCGCCGCGTTGCTCATAATTTAGGCCGTTACGAACAAGGGTCCAGGGGTTGAAGTGATGCATGATTTATGCGTCGTTGGGGTCGGTGTTGGTAATTGAGAGCTGTCTACTACGTTAACGTTAGCAGCATTTCAGTAAGTTATTCTTTACGATAGGAGACGTTCAAAACGCTGAAGTGGGCATCTATCCACTCTCTCAGTCGACACCCACCGGCGGTTAATCTGACTCTCAAGCCCAATGACAACCCTTCAATCATCCATCGCGCCGAGGACACAAGAAGTAGGTCGGGGGTACGGTATAACTAGTGGTAAGAATCTCACTTACTATTGATTCCGTTCTATTTGTTTACCTGCACTGAATGCCGGCGGTACTGGTTGTTCGGTGCTTACTCCCTTGAAGCCAGGAGTTTACGAAAGTTTAGGTTGGCGGTGAATGAATTGGTGAGGAACAGGCTGACGATGGACCAGCTGGCGATGGATACGATGGCGATGGGCACGATGGCAATGGGTACGACGGCGATGGGTACGACGGCGATGGATAGGGCGCCGATGGATAGGGCGCCGGTAGATAGGATAATGATGGCTAGGACGGCGGTGGGCAGGATGGTGATGGGAGGCTTGCCGATGGCGGTGAGGAGGCTCGACCCCGCGGGATTGTCGACTACGAGACCGCCGGCGACGATGATGTTACAAAGGAGAGTCTGAAGAGGGCGAGGTGGACGATGGAAAGGATGATCGCGGGGCTGTGGATGGCGAGGTTGTTGCCGGTTGTGTTGGCGGTTTCTGTCCGACAGTCGTATGTGTTGATGGAGAAGGAAGGCAGGAAAGGTGCGGTGAGTGGAAATTGGGAGATGAGTTGCGTAAGGACGGCGTGTGCAATGCTGTCGGATGGATGGACAGTTGGATGGATACATCTGTGGCCATGCTGTTGAACAGTAGGTACCGACGTCATTCACCATTCGCCGGGGGCGCTTCATCAGCAACTCTACCCGGGAAGGAGCTCTCTGAATACGTACGGTGCGGTGCCCCCCTTCGTATTGTTGCTCGCCAGCTCACCGGTGTGTTTGGAACTAGCAGTCAGTTGTACCGGCGATTGGATATGATCACAGGCCCCGAGACTCCTAGCAGTCCCGATCGACAAACACGGCCAGCTCCGAACATAGCGGACACTCTACAGCGAGCGGTGACCCCCGGCCCCCCGAACGTGGCCAACATCCAAAGAAGACACTCTCTTGTGTCCTTGCAATCATCTAAAATCAAAAGACAGCTTTAGACGGCAGGGGATAACCGAATAGCACAGGAAGCAGGTCGGTCTTGGACACTAAGATGCTGGAACGCCAGACCGTCTCCTGTGTTCCGGCTTCTTAGTCCTCACCACCTCCAGCAGATTTTGGCGACTAGAATTAATCGTCCATTTTCTGCGCAGCTCACGAACTCGCCGGCTTTCTGTCTCTTGGTTTGGGCACGGTAAATGCCCTGGATTACCTCATGTGGTGGCTCAGCTGCGATGGGCTGTGGGAGAAACCGAACAGGGGAGATGACGCCAAGCTCCCCTCCTCTTCCGCGTTTGCTGGCAGGCTCGCTGGACCAAGCCAATGAAGAACAGTTGAGCCACACAACCACTGCGAGGCCCAGGAGGACTTTCGGCAGTCGGGTTGCTTGGCGAGCCAGGAGGAAAGAAGAGCCGAGGGGAGAGCCAGTGGAAAGGGGAACGAGAAAAGGGACACGTCTCCAAGCCCGATCAGACTCGACTTTCTTCTGGGTTCTATGCTCTTCCTCGGCTTGCATACTCTGGAGGGGGGGGAGGGGGGGGGGACGGGAGGCACTCAGGAGTTGACGCGGGTCACATCCCATCACCTCCTGGTCACATGCACTTAACCCTGTCTTGCATCAGCTCACACAACCAGCTGAGCCAGCATTGCCAACACACCCCTTCCCCCTCTTCCAGCCTGAATCTGTTTCCTTGTTTTTTCATCCTTTCTCTCAGTGTGCAAGCCTGGTCTGGACTCTGGCTTCCGGCTCTTTTGATACCACCCACAATTTACCTCTTATTCACGGTCTCCTCCTTTCGTTCTATCAGTAGCATATCTTCCCGCTGTAACTACATCTTTCCTTCCACTCGTCGATAGAACGCCTGGTCCCGTGACCTGTGGGCTCAACACACACGGCACTAGTCCCTACGGAGATGGCAGTCCATCTGAATGGGCGTCAGAGGAGGGCCTCAGAACAACAGCCAACACCCCAGCTTTGTACAGACGGTACTGTCCTCGAGAAGCGGCGGCACGACAGCGATGCAGACATGACATCAGATAAGAGGAGAATAGTAGACGGCTGTGTCAGGAAGTTTTCTTGCCCATTCGTTAAGTGCTTGCCTTGGGAAAAGGATCTCCCACGTGCCTGCAGAGGAAATGGTTTCAGTTCCATCCCCCGCGTCAAGTAAGATTGCACGATGATGTCGATGCCTCCTTCCGTCTGGCTCGAGCTAACCTGTATAGAGAGCATATCTCAAGAAGTCATCTGCGATTCTGTTGTCCAACATGCAGCCATCCGTTCGAGACAAGAGAGAAGCGCGACGAACATGTACGAGAACGAAGCTGCCAGTCACGAAAAACCACCGATCCCCGTTACATCGATGAAAACAAAATGGACTCGCTTCGTGGACGAACCCGAAGAGTGAAAGAGTTGAAGCCTCGACAGCAATGGTTTGCAATGTACGATGTATTATTCCCTAATGTGGAAAGGCCCTCATCTCCATGTAAGACAAGTACAGCCTACACAAAGTAACCCTCGCTAATACGATCAGATGCTGAGCAGACAACATCAACAGCGTCTGATGAGGTGCGCATGATATTTTCACGCTTGAGACCTCGTCTAGTATCTTCACTCAAAGAGAGTCTACCCAGTATCTCGCGACAAGATCTTGACGCCATCATCAAGAAGAGCTTCGAAGAGACGCTCCAGGATTACATCGAGTCTCCCGACCCACCCTCCAGCTCCGACAGTAATATGCCATCGCCTGATTATGCTCCGTTGACCCAGCGGTCACGTGCACTTGAAGCTTGCTTAAGAGAACAACCTGACATGGGCTTCTCGTATCCACCTATATCGCATTTGTCGGACGTCAATAGTTTGCAGCGCCGCATTTGCATCAACAGCGTGCCACACACAACCCTTGGGTCTGACATTCCATGGCCTCCCTCGCGATCTTCTGCTGCTATGATCGCAGATCGTAAAGTGTTCGGCACACAGCAAAGCAGCGTAGGGTCGCATCAGAGCGTTGATTCAAGCCTTTGTCGAACCTCCAACCTTCCGTCAGCATCGTTGCACACATGCAACGTTCCAGATACAGGATCGGAATCTCTCAACGGTGTGGCACTACAAGACGCTTCCGAACACAGCGTTCAACCGACTTCGGAAGTATTGGAAAGTCCCGCCAATACTAATTTTTGGTCACCGGACTTTTCGCTCCTGGAGGATACTGGTGAATTCGATTTCTTGAAGTTCTTGCCGGACAACAGTGATACACCTCATCCCTCCACGGCAGTTGTTCCTGTGGACCATGTACTCAATACATATGAACACGGCGTTTCTGTCTGGACTGAATAGCATCGCGGACGTTATCAAAGGCCTCGGCGAAGTCAAAGAAATGCCAACAGCAGTTTCATGTTCAGGTTTATGGCATATCCATCTTTAAGCCTGCTTTGGGTTCTGGTCCACTTTGATAGAGATAGACCGCATCCCCTCGAGGGGCATATTTTGCATCCTTTCACACGGACTTGAATCTTGATGACGTACGTCAAAACTCTCTTTTGATTCCACATTATTTATCACCATCAATCATGTCGACCTTGTGCTGCGGAGGACCTAGCTTATGGCGTGGCTTTTGAGAACCATAAAACAAGTCAAGTGAACATATTATCAGCGCCCCGACTCCTCGCCCTCCTCATCCTCCAATCCTCCTCCTCATCCTCCAACAACCTCTGCCCAGGCAACCTCACCGCGCGATCCAACGCCACCGGCAACCCCCTATGCCGTCCCCTCAACATAACCAGACACAACACCAGCTTACTCCCCGCATGCCACCCGCCCGCAAAGCTCATCGCATCATTCGGCAACCCAACCGATATCCCCACACACCCATACGCCGAGACAACCTCAAACACAACATTAAACACCGAAAAGTGCACCGGGTCCTCCAGAAAGTGCGACGTCTCGATGATCACAATCAGCAGCACCGCGAGCGTCAGAAGCCAGAGGTCGTGCGCGAGCTGCCCGCGGATCTGCTGGCTGACGAAGCTCGTCCGGGACTCGTACCCGTGGGGGCCGGCGGCGGGGCGTGCGGCGCCGACGCCGGCGAAGCTGAGGTTTTGGCGGAAGAAGTCGGCGACGACGTTGCTGCCGGTGGTGTGGTGCTTCTTCTCGGATGGGAGAAAGGGGTTGGAGTGCTGCTCCTCGTCGTCGGCGTAGATCCCGAGGGAGCGTTCTTCGTAGACGTTGGAGTGGCGCATGGTTATTACGACGGGGTAGACGGAGATGTACATCATGATGACGTATAGGACCTGGAGGCCGGGGTAGGCGGAGGAGATTGGGATGAGGTAGAAGCCGCCGGAGCGAACAGCTGAGATGTGTCAGTCTAGATCTGAAGAAGTTTGAGTTGGAGATAGCTTACCGAGTGCCTGGAACAAGCCATCCAAGACCCTCGCGCCCACCGGAATGGCCTCAATGACAGGGTTGCCGATGTTCAGCACCTCGAACGCAACCCAATCAATACCATTGATCAGCACAACCATGAAGAAGAGCCACCACGTCGGCCTTGAAGGAAACAAGTTCGTGTACACCCTCCTCGGGTACTTCAAGATGAACTCCAGCGTACTCTTCAACTCCACACAACTACCCTCTGCCGTCGTAAGTCTCAGCATCTTCAAAGCCGCCCAGAAAATCAACCTCAAAAACAGGGGATACGCCGTATTACCCGCCAAGATAAGCAATCCCATCGTAATAAGCACAAAATACGCCTGCTGGAACGGCACGACATTCGCATCCAGCAACGACATGCCCGAGTTATTAAACGCCGAAATCGCGAAGAAAATCCCCGCCCACCACGGATTCGCGCCGTTCGACGTCGCCGTCGTCGGCATATTCTTCGCAATCCACGCGCCTAGCGCCACGGCCCCGAGGACCTGCCAGAGGATGGAATACAGCGGGACGACCACAGAAAGCAGGCGGAGCGCGCGGTACTCGTGGCCGCCGAGGCGGGATCGCTCAGCGGCGGTGAGGGAGTGGAACTGCGCGTTGCGGCCTTCCTTGGACGCGCTCAAGATGGAGAGCCAGGGCCGCGAGGGCTTCGTCTTGCTCGAGACAGAAGCCGTCGAGCGGCGGGTGATGTTCTCAGCCTCCCAGCTAACATGGTTCTCCACAGCGCGAACACGCGTCGACACCCCGTCACCCACAACACCAGCACCGCTCGCCTCGGCCACTTTCTTCCCCGACCCATGAGCGATGGGCAAACAGCCCTCTCCCTCCCTCATCTGGTCCCTCTCCCTCTCCGCCTCAACAATCTCGCGGAACCGCTTCTCAAAGACGTGCTTGCGCGCGAGCACCGTCCAGATGGACACCCATATCGTACTCCCGACGACGATGAGCAGCCACAGCATGACCTGCTGCCAGACGGTCATCTGGCTGAGGTTGACTGTATTCAGCCCGGCCTCCGTGATGGCGGAGACGACGAGGAACAGCGCGTCGACATAGCTGATGCTCCCGCGCGGGTTCGAGGAGGCGTAGAAGACGGCCGAGGCGAGGAGGGAGGTGCCGATGAAGTAGGCGTAGTGCAGCGTGATGAAGTTCAGCGGCGGGAGGAAGGAGCGGATGCCGCCGCTGCCGCTTCTTGGGGGGCTTCGAAGTGTCGGCACATCGTGAGCTTCATCTGAGTTGCGTTTGTCGTCGCCATGTGGGTGTCGCGACGGATTCGTCATGGTGAGGGTGGGAGTGAGACCCTGGTCCAGCCCTACGTCCGCCCAGCCGGCAATTTTAGACTTTTGACGCCGCCAAGCGCGTTGCGATCTAGCCAAGCAACAAGAGAGATCTCGCAGATCCGCGCGTCAAGTTCTCTCGTTCTGCCGCTGCCGCAAAAAGAAAAGCGGACGTCTTCTACAACAGACCGGTCACTGGTGCATCCCTCCTCTGCCTTTGTTTTTCTACCGTTTTTCCTCCCACATAGCGCTTTAACCTCACAAATTGTCGGTGAGAGACAAAGCCTTCGCAGGGGTCATCAGGGTGCCACAATAGACAGACCCTCCCGAGTCATTCGTCCAAACAAATTACACGTGCGCTGAGAAGGGGACGCCGTCTGCTAAAAGCCGGGTCTCTTTCATCTCGCTTGGCGGGCGCCCCGCTGAAAGTTTGTTTATTGTCTTCACCGATGGCGCGGGTGGGTGTTGACCGAGCCTCACCGACGACCGACTTCAGTCCTGTCGTTGATGTTGGATGATGAATGTGCTTGACCAACTCCGACTCTGATAACTCCAATTGATGGTATCTCTTATCGCCGACCAAGTCCGATTGAAGCCTTCAACCGCGCCGTTTACCCGGAAAGCCCCCCGTCGCGAAGCTCTGAAGCCGACTTGAAACAGGCCGACCCCTGAGCCGAGGAAGCGAACCGCGACGACTCCCAACCAGTCATCCTCACGATCAAGCATCAGATTCATATCACTTCACAGGCAAATTCACAAAAGACTCGGAAAAGATTCCGGGGCAAACCAATTGATTCAAACACCCTACTCAAGAACACCCAGCTACCCGTCGCCAAAAGACACCCAAAGCCCAGCCCAAAAAAAGGATGAACCAAGCTCCTTCGTCTTAGCCGTTTTCTCGTCTCGCCAGATCAGATAGATAATGATACAAAATCCATGCCATGCTCCAGGAGTCATTCATAAAACACCATGGGAATAATAGAAACAATAGGAAAACAAAGAAACCACCACCCCTCTAGACGCGAACCCTGACAGATTCCATCTTTTGTGACAACATCATGAGACACATCGCTTAGAAGCCGAGGAGGCCGTTGAAGGTAGTCGCAACAGCCTCGCTCTTGTCGCCCGAAGCCAGGATCTGCGCCTTGGCGTCGAGGCACTGCTGGTGGGCCGCGTCGTTGGCCTCGCAGACGTTGATGAGCTGGTCGCAGATTCGGTTGGTGATGATGTTGGGGTTGAGGGCGTCCTGCTGGCCCTGGGCGACGAGGGGGTCGGTGGGCAGGAAGGTGCCCTCGGTGGCCTTGCGGCCGGCGCGGCCGAGCTGGAAGTCCATGGTGGGCGTGCACTTGCCAAAGTCCGCGGCGCCGGTGGCGGCTCCTCCGGTGTTGGCGTTGCCGTTGTTACCAGTGTTGCCGGTGTTGGCGTTGTTGTTGCCGGCGTTCGCGGTGTTGTTGCTGGCGTTGCCGGTGTTGGCGGTGTTTCCGGTGTTAGCGTTGCCTGTGTTTCCGCAGTCAACGTTGTCGTTGGTGTTGCCAGTGTTTGCGTTGTTGTTGCCAGTGTTGGCGTTGTTGTTTCCGGTGTTGGCATTGTTGTTGTTCTGGTTGTTGTTGTTGTTGTTGTTGTTGTTGGCATTGCCGTTGTTGGCGTTGTTGTTACCAGCACCGGCATTACCACCAGCAGCGCCCGCAGTCGTAAAGTTCGAGAAGCCCTGCGCCTTCATCACATCCGCAACAGACAGACCCGTAGCGTCAAACGGCGTAGTCTTGGAAGTAGCCGAGTTGGCGTTCTCGGTGTCCGAGCCGGTAACGGCCGGGTCGACGAGGGGCACGATGCCGCGGAGGGCCTCGGTCGCAGGCAGCGAGGCGTCGCCGCAGATGTTGGGCACGCTGACGACGAAGGGGTTGAAGTTCTGCTCGGCGGCGACGAGGCCCTTGGCGGCGTCGAGGACCTCGGCGCTGTCGCCGAGCTGCGTGACGATCTTGTCGGCGAGGGTGAGCTTGTCGCAGGGGTTGGCGGCGGCGAGGAGCACGCCGGGGATGCCGCCGGCGAGGGTGGCGGCCTCGCCCGGGTTGCCGACGTTCTGGAGGGAGGAGACGGCGGAGACGGGGGTCTGTTCCTGGCCGAAGCGGGCCTCGGCGACCGCCAGGAGGGCGGAGATGAGGAGGGTCTTGCTGGAGTAAGACATTTTGAGTTTGTGTTTGTGTTGGTTTTGAGTGTTTGGACAACGGAAGACCGGATGATCGAAAGAATCGAAGATAGCTTTAGAAGTTACTTTTTAGTAGAAAAAAGATTGGAAAGGACCGGCTAGCGGTTTGTAGTTGGATTGTCAGACAAGAAAGAGTGTCGAGAACGTAAAAAAAGTTCACAGAACTGAAAGATTGGAAGAGTAGAGTAGGGCGAATGCTTGGTTTGCAGGATGAGGAGGGAAAGAAGAAACGACTGACAGACGGGATGGGCAGATGGGATTATATAGATGGTGAGGTGTGGACGATGTCAGACGAGATTGTTTCCCGTGATGGACACAGACTGAACCGCAGGCGCCATGGGCCTGGGACTGGGGGCTTCGAGAAGGGGTGTCGCAGACGAGACGTCGAGGAGGTCTGCGACGATGACACTCCTTGACGGGCAGCCCCCTCGTCAACGATCCATCTCATGGGATGAGATGCTCCAGTCCACCGAGTCGCATGCGCTGGGCCCATCCAGTAAACGCGCATGGGATGATGCGAACATGGGTGGTCAGAGTCTGTCCATGGGTTGGGAGAGCCATGGCTCGCGGAGGAGCCCCAAGCAACGGTGAAGAGAGAGGAAGCCAACCCAGACGGCGATCATACTGCAGCATTGGACGGACGACATGGTGCGGCGGCATGAACGTCACGGACCAAGCAGCACCAGGCGCGGCGGCTCATGGCCAGGCTCAGGCGCAGGCTCAGGTCGCGACATGCCCAAAGTGTCCGTCCCAACTGGCCTCACACGCAGAGTTTGTCTCATGTCGGCTGGACTCGAGAATTGGCCCAGGGACCAAGGGGGTTCGGATGAGTGGCGGCGGTGGTGGTGGTGGTGTGCGGTGGCCGTCCCATTTCTTCTCAGATTCTGCGCATTCTTCTGCAGAACTTTCGTGCAGCGAGTGCGTGGTGATCGGGAGTCGAGCCGAAAAAGAGGCATGGAGCAGCCTTGCAGATTGCCTCCTACCTACTACTCATGCTTGCTTCATGATGCGCCTCGCTCAGACCAGGGTGGAGGCCGAGCAACCGAGTGCTGCGATAGAGACCTTGTCTATCTTGTCAGTCTGCCATTGCCCCTCACCCAACCCCGGGATGCGAGATGACGAAAGAGGGAGACGAGATGAGTTGAGGATATGGAAGAGTGAGAACCCGACAACGCGGGCGGGATGCGTGGTGCAAGACTGGCAGAGAACTTGGAGGCGAAGGGGGCGCATTTGCGGTGCAGCAGCGTCCCAGGCGACCGCGAAGGGCATAGCGCGGCCCCCCCGCCCCCCCCCTCCGCCCCCGCCCGTTGGCC